TGCTTTTTCGATTTCCATTGCAATTCAATAGATTTGACCATCGTATACAACAGATTCTGATTTATGTAACGTGTTGCATCAGTCGTACCGATAGCCGGTAATAAAGTGTGAATACTATGCCTGAAACACGTAGACGGATATAACGGCGCACACATATGTAGGTAACTAATTCTATATACAGGTATATAGGCAATGCGAATAAATCCAATAAGTAGGTCCTGTGACAGAGGACGTTCTGGATAAAGTTCGGAAAATTCTGACTGCCATTGAAAATGGGAGTATATTAGATATGGACAGAAATTTTACCTTAAAACCGGCCATCCACGGACCCTTAAAAATGGTGTTTGCAAGGGTTCTTATTGCACAATGAGCGTAGCACTCTCTATTAATGCCCAAATTCTGACCGGACATGGCTGCGTACTTGAAAATCCCACACAGCCAAACGGGCGTCCCACTTTGGCAATGGTCGGCCGGAAGAGAACTTAAGTGATCATATATCTATTCCCTTTCCCCACTTGGAGGTAAATGATTTTAGAAAAGTATTTAATGTATACATGTCAAGTACTGACTGCTGAGCTGGTGATAAACTCGGAGACCTGTCCAATGTCTTTAATAAACAACAGAATAGATAATCTGTAAGTTTCAATACGATCCTTATTAAATAATAGTAAAAAAAAGCATAAATGTGAATTTAATATGCGTTCACCTCACAAATATACATTGTCAAGTTTTATTCTTTTAAAATCTGATGGGAATGAAGCTATGCTGGTGTTTATAATTACGCATACTATTGATAAAACTTCTCTTTACAGTAGGAGAAATTAAACGTTGTTCTTGATTTCCATTCTTAGAACGATAAAACATTCAATTGATTTCGTTTGAAGCAATAATCTTGTAATTTAATTTGTCAATTACCCGTTAATAAAACCCCATCGTAGTTTTCCAGGGGATAAAACAAATATGCTAAAAATTCCCCAAAAGATGCCGAAATAAACTTTTGGAAAAAAAAATAATAAAAGAAAATAAAAAAAATAAAAAATAATCCTACGTTATTAGCTGCTTTGTCTGCCGGTACGAACATAAACCGCTTTGGAGTTTATTTTTTACTCTAGAAATGGGTATATCATTAACCCTATTATTGATTTCAGAATTGCTTTCAAAATGAGATATACGAATATCAACAGTTTTCATAATTTTATTCAAATAACTGTCGAAAGATTTTTTATCAGATTTTTTACGTTTACACCAATTTTTACAGTGAGCAGACATTCTTTAATAACCTGACATCACTTTTTGCAATCTATAATAGATGGCGGACAATATTAAGGTCCTTTCATAAAAACAGTTTTGACTTCACGGCCTTCAAAGATGTTGAGGTCTCCTGTAATGACATGACCATAGGGAACATATCTAAAACTAGATGTTTCACAGTCTGAAGTGGAAGGATCATTATATTCTATATTGACGTGTGATGTTACTGTCGTATAATTGAAAATCAAACTTTTTTTTGTAAGAATACGAATTAATAGGTGGTTTTGTATAATCAAAATATTGAGGTATTTGGCTATGGACGGTGGAGTCATTGAATATTCTAGATAAGTTAATAAACTCAATACCTCTGTTTATATATTTTATTTCAGAAAATGCCGTTTATGATTCTTAGGTTAACCGATACTAGGAAACAGTCTGTGATGCCAAAAGGCTGTAATAATACGGGAGTATTCACTCCACGGGCTAAACAATGAAATTTTATAACACTCCAGGAAAATATCATATTGTTTACTTATTGATATATGACCAAGTTTGCTGAATAGTTCATGTCTATTATTATTTTTTGTTATAGATCAGATCAGCAAGTATAATTTATACGATGTTTAATATGCAATTTACGGCTTTTATGTTTACCAGGAGACTATTATTTCTTACCCGTTTATTGAAAATATAAATGACATCGATAGAAGTTTTAGATATGTCTCCCTGTCCCAATATTTTGTCATTGAGACCGAGAGGATAAGCTGTTTAAAAATATATTATTCAAAATGATTCGCGAACTTCACGAGATTTTTCAAATTGCTTGTGTGATTGTGTTGGTTGTTTCTGAACGGTTTCAAGTTGAAGGAATTTTATAAATTTTAGACTGTGATTATGCTTATGCTTATCTAAATGTTGGTATATCAAACTTTTGAATTTTTTAGGTCTTCGAAAGCGGTAAGGGTGCTTCTGGTTTTTTTCTGTAATATTCTCGTCCCGTCTGTCCAACATATTTGAATTGTTAGTAATTCAACTTTATTTTATCATGTTAATCCAACGTGACAGAAATGTGCAAAAAAATTAATTAGAATTTATAGTGTCGTATTAATTTTACGCTACAATCTCGTCAAAAGAAAAACGATAATATTAAACGTCACATTTACGTGTGTTCAACATTATATATAAGATGTAATGATTACAATGCTGCACTAATGTAACTAAAACATAAACATAAACAAATATAATGATAAATTGGTTACAAGATAGCGTTTATTTATACTGAAGACACATGGTAAATAATCGTTTTAAAGAATACAATGAGGGTGAAATGTTCAGACTGTCTAGTGGTTGCTATTTACTTGTACACATTAACATGATTAACAACATACGGAACCGTCTGAAAAGCTAATGAACAGTACTTAATTGACTGCAAGCAAAATATCCGAAAATTGACTTAAAGATTGATAATGACTTAATAATGTATTGTTCAAACTTTAAAGATGGTGTTAAAATGACCGTTTCAGAAAAAAAATGATTTAATCTTTTTGGTTATGGTCAGATAGAATGGCTCTATTTGAGGTTATATCCTGAAAGAAAAGAAGGTTGAAAACAAAATATGCAATGCCAACAAAGACAAATCAATACCAAAATCCTTTATCCAACGCCTAATGATTATAGAGATAATTCTCCGTAACAATCCGAAAGTTTTTTCGTCGATATAGTAATATGTTTTATGTTAAAACACTCAAGAATCATTAGAAGTTTGACATTTCTTTTTTCAAAAATATTTGTATATCCTTTGAAAACATGTTGAATCTGAGACAATTGAATTATACAATTTATAACTTAATGTAAGCTTTATAAAATACGTCTGCCACATTATCTTCATATTTTCGTTCAGTTATTTATATGTTGCGCTTGATACATAATCAATCGAAAATTGGGAGCTACTGCGGTGAACTAACTGTGATTATATGCATGATGTTAATCGAGACAGGCATTTACAATTAGTCGCATGTTCTACAATGAGAAAAGATGGTAAGATTGGCAATACATATCCAAAATGTCAAAAATGTCAGAATGATACAGATGTAGCAACTGTCTGTCACTCTGTGGCCTTGAACAATTTGAAAATCCCATTGAACGTTTCTTAGTTTACCTGAGAAACTTTAGGACAGAGCTGAAAGTTTCGTAATTATAACTGTCAACCATTTGGTCATTTTGGTTATATATACTTGTAAAACATCAGTCAAACAACTTGCTACATAATTATGTGTCTCTTTTATCACTTAATAGAAAGAATGAGTAAACCAACAGAACGCAAACCATTAATAACGACAATAACACCTGAGTTACAGAGACTAGTAAAAGAAATACCAAAAACATTACAAAAAAATACAGGTATGGAAATGTGTTATATGAATACTTATAAGATAAAAACCTTTGGTAGATATTGCATTCTAAAATATATGGGTCAATGATACAATCTTGAAATTTTGTTTTAAACAACTTGTAAAGCAGTCTTTTAATCTGAATTTCAGTATTAGTTGTTAAAAAAAAAAGAAAGGACTTAAATTTAAAGTTAGAAGTATGTGAAGGAAAGGATGTTTTGTGTCTACAATAATATTCGGTAGCAATTAATTAACAAAACAGCCTTAAAAACTTGAATACGACCAATTTGGGGCCTTATTGGTCAAAGGACATAAGACCTAAAGGCCTTTGCGTCCGTTGGTGCGTTATTCCGTTACATTTTATTTACACTCGCTACCTTCATAACCCCTAGCGTTAAGAAGTGAAATGGGAATCATATTTACCTCTACTATATATGTTATCCTACGTTAAAGGTCATGGTCAAAGTATTAGTTTTACTAAGTCACCCCGTGTATAGTTAAAAAATCGTTTCCGGTCTTCAAAATCTAAATTCCATTTAATATATTTGTTCACCACTACTACAAGGTGTGTCTTCTATAAAGTCAAAAGTTCAACCCTGTCACCCCTGTGCATATGTAATCAATCGTGCTATCTAAATTGAGACCGAATGAGTTAAGTATTCGAATTTCAGAGAATATTCACAACATTTAGATAATATACTCGTACAGAAAGTCAACACACAAAATGAAGGCCATGGTCAAACGCGCACTTCAACTAAGTCAATCCTGCAGTGCATATGAACAAGATCCTTCCACCCCCTATATTTCAAACACATGAATTTGGAAATGTTAACTACAATGATGAACATTCGCCTCAAGAGAGAAAGCCATACAGTGAATGTCTTGGTCAAAAACTTTCAAAAACTCTGTCGACCCATTTTTTATCCACAACTACTCCTTAAGCCCTGTTTAGAATTGGTTTACCCTTAAACGCAAAATTTAGGGTACGTAAACAGTAATCATCCTCTTTCTCCATCCGTCAATTATTTTCTGTTTGTATGATCATGTGCCTTCTTAGCACATTTCCTCCTTACCTGCTGGGCAAATATTGAAAATACTTTACAAAGATGGAGAACACTATCTAACAATGTATCAATGAATATAATCATGGTTCTTCTTGTTCAAGGTGGATAAAAAAAACTCGTTACTTTTGATGATCTGAATGCCAATTTTAAATGATAATTCATCATAGAATGTTTAAGACAAGTTCAAATTTAGATAGCAGGCACATATTTACGCATTTGAATACGAGTATTACAGAAATATTGAGCCCTACTTTATACGGCTAAAAGTGTATGTCTCAGCATGATTATTTATAGATCTACCAGACGAAATAGATGACAGGAAAACAAGATGGTTAATAGTGGGTATCTGTCTTCATACAATCATATCTCCAGTACTGAGGAAATATGTTGTTCCCGTTGTTACGAGGCTGTTTTTTTCTCTAATAAGTCGGAACAAAATTCATAAGCAAACTTATGGAAGTCATCTAAAGATATTTGATCTGACCAACACAGAACTGAATTATGAAGCAATTAATAAAAACAAAACTAAATATGGAAGTGATAGGGCTCTTTATGATTATAGAGTCATGAGTCCTGTGGATTTATCCCGATTATTCCTTCAGACTCATATGGCACATTTCACAGCATTTGATAACTCGTGTGATTCATCTGCCCTACTTGGAATCATTGTTAACATTGGCAAATTTCCAGCAGTTGTAGAGTCTGATGCTAGAAAGGTAATTTTAATATACCGTTCCTCTTTCGATTTGTAATTGTACATATTTTCTAATTCCTATACACATTTTGTGCACATACGTGTCTGTCAATTGTATTTTGAACAATGCCGGAGATCAAATTGGAAATTGTTCAATTTTTATAGAAGCAAGTATAAATTATTCAATTGAATTTTCGTTATTGAAACAAACAGTTTTTAGAATAATTGTGTTTCATCAAGTCAAAATCGCTGCCCTTCGAACGTGTAGTTTTATGTCTATTTTGAATAATAAAAGTTCTGAATTATCCTATTAAAATCAAAAGAATTCTCCCATCTAGCTTCACACTCATTTTAACATTGGAAGGCATTATCTTTGCCAAATGGTTTGTACATATTTCTATTTTTGGCCAAATGTGAGTGAAAGACCAGCTCACATTTTGTAAAGAAGGTCCTTGTATTTGATATAAGATTAAAATATCCTTTCTTACTTCGGTAGTATTATTCCATTACTGCACGTCCCCAAACTTCAATTGACTCGTGAGTCTTGTGGTAGCGTACTTGCCTTAAATTATGGAGATCGTGGATTGAATCCCTGGCAAAACAAAAGACTTAAAATTGGTATTCGCTTCGAAAGTGGAATTTACGAGTCAGAGCATAGGCTGGTAGACTTAGAGTAAGAATTAGAGTATTCCTTTTGACCTGTTACCTTATGTTTGTATCTTGTGAATTAGGTAGTAGAGTAATGTCTGCCTCATCGTTTTGGTCTAGTACAAGGTAAGGTTGATATCCAAATCTTATTTTAACATGTTTACTCCTGATATCTTTCTAATATTTTCACTAGAACTTTAAATTCAATCTGTTCATTCTTTAGTTGTTTGTTATGGTTTTATACCTACCTGATCAACTGTGGCATAAAAGAGATGTGAAAGATAGCAAGAGACAACATAATCTGACAACGCCATGGCTAAATAAGAAAAAAAAGAAACAGACAGACAGACAGACAGACAGACAGACAAACAACCGAACAACAAAACACAACATGGAAAACTAAAGGCTTAGCAACTCGTATTGAAATTTTCGACTTATTATGATTAACAATGATTGCAGTTATTATTTATACATAAATATTTTCATAATTAGAACGCTTGTATTAGTCATACTTAATTATGGTGAGCTGCATTTTGTGGATATATATCGACAAGTTACAAATTTGAATGTTCGAAAAAATATAAATGTATTGTAGGTTTGTACACTATTTCACAGCTTACCTTTTTGAACAATTATGTCAGTTTATATTTTATTTTATTTATAAATGTGAAGGTAATTTTATAGATACGATCAGATGTACAGAATCCCTGGACACATTGGGATTTTACAGAATGGACTTCTATAAGATATAGAGATTCATTCCAGTCGATGAGACATCTTATTAGCAACCTCAGGCTGAGTAACAGAGAGGAAAACAAAATCCAATGTGATCTACATAGCTGGGCAGGAAAAGGTAAATGCATTAATGATATACAGTCAGGGACATTACTTAATCAAGTAACTTTTAAAATTACCCATACAAGTTATGTTGAAAACGAAGCTATTTTAAATATTACTTATATAAGTAACTTTTCTAAATATTGTTTTTATAAGTGTCCAACTTTACAGATTTTACTAGCTTTAAAAAATCTTGGTTATTTTCCCCATAGAATATAATATCTAATCCTTCTGAAACACTAATTTTCTTTCTGACGCACATATCTTTGATATCGAAGCTTTTGGGTCAAAGATTGGTCTCTTTGGGACTATTGAAATATAATTTTCCTCAAAAATCTTGAAGGTAGACAGATATGTCAATGCAACTTCCTAAATGTATGTTAAACGTAATTTTAAAAAGACCAACAGATATTTTTTGAAATTTCAGAAATCATTGTTTGAATTTCAAGACTTTGTTAGGAATGTATTCAGAACATTTTCAGTATTTTTCAAATATTTTATTTACAAATCCTCACGGATACAAATTCTACAATTTTACCCACAAAAATTTGATTTACAGTTAGATGTCAAATTTCAACCATAATTGGCTTCTATGACAAAGATTGATAAAATAGTATAGGCAGATAAAAAGATACTCTGCATTTATACCAAGGTTAGAGAAAGGACAATGTATGATAAGGGTCATTTTTGGCCCCCTCTCGGAACCAGTTCATATTCATACCATCAATAGCCCTCTGGCAGGTACTACAAAAAATAACAATTTTTATTCGTTCCTGTGACTCTTTGGTTGCTAGCAACCGATTTCTAAAATCAAACTTGCAGTCTGCTTTTCGTTAAAAAAATCACTTTTCAATGATTTTTGATGGTTTATTATGTTAAATCATATTATATTGTTTATCTGTACAAGTTTTTTTTGTTTCCTTCAACAAAAAAATAAATGTCTTATGCCTAGCAACTACATAACTCAGATATTTTGCTTAGCAACCATACTATTGCAGGCATTTAATGTATGTATTTGCACAAACAAGTAACATTCAGTGTATGACAACACTATAGTATTAATACAAACAAGCTACTTTGTTCCATGCATCAGTTTAAGACTTGAATTTTGCTTAGAAACTACCTAGCAACGTGGATTTTGCATAGCAACCATACTATTTTAGGCATTTAAAGTATGTATTTGCACATACAACGAAAATCACAAACCACAAATAAATAATTCATATCTACTGGCTAGATTTTCTAATGCATTAGTTTTAGATTAGTATTTTCCATAAAAACTACCTAGCAACGTGTATTTTCCATAGCAACCATACTATTTCAGGCATTTAGTGTATGTAATTGCATATATAAGTTACATTGGGTGTTTGACAACAACATATTATTAATACAAACAAGCTAGTTTGTTCCATGCATCAGTTTCAGATTGGTATTTTGCTCAGAAACTACCTAGCAACATATATTTTACATAGCAACCATACTATTTCAAGCAATTAATTATGTATTTGCATATACAATTTTCATGGCATGACAACAACAAACTATTTCTTCATGCAAGCTATATTTGCCTATGCATCAGTTTCAGATTCGTACTGTCACCTAAAACTACCAAGCAATTTCAATTTTGCATAGCAACAAGTTTTTGTATTGTTACATTTTTGTAGAAAATATATGATTGATTTCGACATATCCATGATTTTTTCATATATATAAGCTGCAGTAACTTTCTAAATGTAGCTGCATAACAATGTGTGTATCTAAGGATTTCATCAGCATACTAGTATAGTATTTTTTTTAACAGTCACTACAGGTTTTACATTAAGTGCATGGTTGCAAAGGAAGATGTATTGTATATATAAAAAAGAAGATGTGGTATGATTGCCAATGAGACAACTCTCCACAAGAGACCAAATGACACAGAAAGTAACAACTATAGGTCACCGTACGACCTTCAACAATGAGCAAAGCCCATACCGCACAGTCACCTATAAATGGCCACGAAATGACAATGTAAAACAATTCAAACGAGAAAACTAACGGCCTAATTTATGTACAAAAAATGAACGAAAAACAAATATGTAACACATAAACAAACGACAACCACTGAATAACAGGCTCCTGACTTGGGACAGGCACATACATACAGAATGTGGCGGGGTTAAACATGTTATAAAACGGGATCCCAACCCTCCCCCAAACCTGGGACAGTAGTGTAACAGTGCAACATAAGAACAAACTATCAAAATCAGTTGAAAGAGGCTTAACTCATCAGATGGATAAAAATACAAAAACTACAAATACAAGTGGACGTGGCCGGGTACTTGTACACCCAAACAACAAAAAGACACTAAGTACAGATCTGAGAGTACTCGCAGTTACTGACAGCTAGTTCAAAGCCACTAACAACTAATAAAAAAAATCATGCATCTAAGACTAAATATGCATAATTTCAGCATTGCCTTTCTTTGTATGTCAAGTTTTTTCAGATGGGTTGGGTAATCGTGGTTGCAGTATTTTTGGAAAATTCGGGGGTGTTATTTTTTTTTTTTTTTTAAATTAAACTTACAATTAGAAGCTGCAAACCTTTCTTTAGTAAATAGTTTTTTTTTTCTGTCGAATGGACAAAAGAATCATTTTGTTTATACAAATTCTATATATTAAATAAATAAAGTGTCACATTTTCTGTGTATCCAGGTGACAACACTCTGTTGATTTAAAAATGTACTAGTTTACCTCTGTTTCATTACACAATTTTTTTAGAAGAGGGTGTTTTTGTGTTGACCTATGAACTTTGTTTACCAGATTTCATTTGGTACTAAAGAAAACAACCAAACCTTTAAAAACAAATATCATTTTAATTTCCCTCACTATCATTGAAATGCAATAAAATAAAAACATTATAAGTAACAGGGAAATACATCTCTGTCTGTCTGTCTGTCTCCCTATTAAGTACCATACTTTCATTGAAATACATTGTATTTAATAAAATAAGTACATTATAAGTAACAGGGATATGAACTTACACACACACACACACACACATTACTTCTCTCTCTCTTTCTCTGTAAATATCTCTGTTTTCCATATACTATCATTGAAACAAGGTGTGTTTAATAAAATAAGTGCATCATAAGTGGCAGTAACTTGCACACACACACACACACATTTTCTCTCTCTCTTTCTCTCTTGCTCTTTCTCTTACTGTCTCTCTTTTGCTCTTTCCCTCTTTCAAATAGAATTTCCTCCATGTATCATGAGTATTTTAAATCGATTATTTGTATAATATTTGATTGCGGAATTTAAAAATTAACAAGATCAACTGAATCATATTAAAGCATGAAAAAATAGTCCATCTCCAAAGTAAATGAACATCATTCACACACACATACAAATATACACAGACAAAATTATTAACTGCAATATGATAATTTTCAGAAAATGACTATGGTCAACAAGCAAAATCAAACATAATCTTTTGTGACAAAGACTTTGTTTTGAATGTCATTATTCTCCTTAATTAATTTCAGACAATTAAATTATTTGTATTCACGTAAGGACTAGAAAAATGTCTAAATGTGTGCAAATTCCAAAGATCATTGTGAAAAAATTTGTCTGTGGAAGATTTATGGATTCATAGACTAGGCCATTAATGCAGTTATTAGATTAAAAAAATCAAAGGTCTTTTGTGATTGAGTTCCATATTTTGAACCATATTAAAGCTCTTATGATTTAAATGTCAAGCTACCGATATTTAGTTTTTAGATTTCCTGTTACAAATGGATTTTATAAGAAATAGCATTTACTATTTAATTATTCAAGCTCAAATTGTTCATCATCTGTAAAAGTAACTAGCTATATATAGATTTCACAATTTACAGGCAAATACTTTGATTTTATGATGTCCTTTGAATTGTAAATATATGGAAACAGATATTAATTATCAGATAATTAATGAACTTCAAGCAATTAAATATATGAATACAAATTAATTTCATCTATTTACTAATTAATGTTAATTAGGTTATACTGATAAGGAAACTATTGTCTACTCTTCAATGCCAGCTGATGATGAGGGATTATCTGACAGTGTACCCGTATGTGCATATGAAATGGAGGTATTTCCCGATAAACGTGATGGCTTGAGACTTTTCATGTGCCTCTCTAGTCCCAAATACCACAGCACACTTGCCACATCTGCACAGCAGCCCACCATCCTAGCCCCAACTTTGCACGTGCAGTACCATCCATTAACAGGCTTTTCCACACTTAACCCAGCATTGTAGTCAATCCATAATGTATGGATGGTAGATTTGGAATGTCTTGATTGAATTTTGACTTGCAGAAGAGTTTCAGATTCTTTGCAAAGTAATAGTTCATAATTTCCAGATTCAGAGAGATGTTCCCTTGTGTATCCTGGTGCCTGTTTAAGTTGGTAGATACCTAAAGTGATATCCCTTAATATTTCCTCTGTCAGTTTTGGAAAATTTTCAAGTACTGTGCCAGAAGCATTAATTGGTAAGTATACAGTTCTCCGTCTAATCAAGTTGTTCTGTTCTACATAAGTTTGTAGACTGTTTTCTAAGACAGAGCGGTCAAGCATCTTCTTAGCTACTTCTTCATTTTCAGGGTTACAGACAAGAGGTCGTTTGTACTTATTTAGTATACCACCAGTAATCTTTACTAAATCACCAATACTGGAAATCATGGTATTTGGAACCACCTTTTCAAAAAAATGAAACTGTTTCAATCTGGCATTTGTGCTTTCTACAACCCAGCGACATTTAGTTACTAAGCGAGTCAGATTAGCTTCGTTCGTTGTTAACTGTTTTTTCCCTTTTACCAAACAAACAGGCATCTTAACCATATATCCCTGATCTTCCAAGTACTGAACTGCATCCCTGAAACCCCTATCTACAATGCAAATATCATCATCCTGCAACCATGCTGTTATGTTCTCCAAGTTGTTTGTTATGGCATGTTTTGTTATTGATGCATCGTTATTGTGACCGTCTGCAA